CCGTTTAAAATCGTCTATACTTATAGTCCCCACCCTCTGTATAATAGTGTAAAATCTCATAAATTGTATTAATTAAACATTTATTTTGTTAATAAAAATTCTCAATTAGTTAGATATACAATAAACAATTCTTTATCAAAATATGATACATGAAATACTAAATATCTGTTAATTTATTCACTTTTAAAAACTATTTATAATACTACTCGTTTAGCTTAAACCTATGTATATTTATGAATAATTGACTTTTGGATAAAATTAAAAATTAGATATAATAAATATAAAAAAGCTAACGTTACTATGATTGTCCCCAGCTCATATAATAAATAAGTTGTAATAAAATGTCTGTTTGTACGTAATTCCCGTTTAAATTAATTATAATAGAAATTTATTTCATTTTATTATTATAAATAACATAAAATGAATTACATTGTTATTGTAGCTAGAAAGTCAGTACATTTAAACATAACTAATATTAATAAATATATGTATTTCAAAATTCTACCATGTTTACTAGTGCAAATTTAAAGTGGGAAAATGTCAAATAAATCACAGCAAATATTCAATGGATCTTGATCTAAACTGTGTGTGAATTATCAATATAAATATTATAAATTATTTTCTTACAGCAATATATTATTGCGTTAACCATTAAATTACTAAAAGGTATTTATTTTTTTTGAAAATATTAATTTGTTTTTATAATATTCTAATGGTCTATTATATTTTATATTATAATTTTATATTTTAAAAATATTGTATATTATTTTATTTGACTATTATATCTAAAATTGGATAACATGTATAAATTTTTCAATGATATAATATTTAAGATAATTTTATAAGTAAATTGTTATAATATATAGCATTAGGTATGAAACATCTACTTAATTATTTTTGCTATTATTAATTAATTTGTTAGTGAATAAATAGTTACAAGGCACATAGTTATAAAGTAATAATTTATAATTAACCATTGACTAATCGTAAAAACTATCAACTTTTCCATTTTTAAATTTTTAAAATGATTTTACTCTGCTCAATTGATTAATACTGGGTTACACTTTTAACAGTCATTGTTAATTAGGTCTATACAGTGCTCTGATTTAGTGTGCATGTTATCGGATCAGGACAACCTTGTTTATCCATGTTGCCACCATTGACATTGTTTTCACCTATCCCATTTAGGATTTAAAAATTTAGCTTTTAATTATTATTACAGATTAATAAATGAATATGGATTGATTATTAAGAATGTTATTTATTACAGTCAAATCATTTGATTCAAAATAACTCATTTATTTATTAATCAAATAACAGTATATGCATAAACTTTACAAAACATAGAGTTTGTTAACCAATTGCCGTTTAAATAGCTATAAATTACCCTGCTACAATTATGTTTTACAATCACTATAATTTATAAATAAACATTGTATTTATTAATTGTGATCAATTACATAGTTATTATAATAAATATTTATTTTTTAAATTTTGTTCGGCGTGGTGCAATTTGTTTTTTAACTACATAAAACGTATACTTATTTGTGGTGAAACACAAACACACGGCTATTGTCTCGGCAATCAGGCTCATGGGTGCCGCTAATACACAGGCCAAAACGTATAACACATAGCGTTTGGCGCCTATTATCTTAACACTAAACGACTTGAACGCGCCGAAAATGAACATGTACAAAGTGACCGCATTTACGAACCCACTCACCACGGACATCTCGTAATTAAAATAATGCGGTTTGAAGTAAAATACAAAAAACAACATTTTAGTCGGCATGGACGTGATCCAGGCGTAATGCGACATGGCCACAAACACCTTGTACCTCCATGGTAGGTTAGGCGAGTGGACCACCAGGTGTATGCCCTGCATCCAGCGTGTCCTTTGCCGGATGTAGTCGGTGATCGTGAACGGCGACTCCTCCCACATCGGACCCTCGATCCAGTCGAACGTACGGCCGGTGCGGTAGGCGTTGACCGCGAAATAGCAGTCCTCGGCGACCGAGCCCTCCAACCCGTGATCGAAGGATAGCCGGCGCTCGGCCTTCGCTCGGCACACAAAATATGTGCCTATTTTCGGGTAAAAAATTTATTTTTTTCTAACCAAAGGCTCGTAAGATGAGAGCCAATGTTAGCCAATCTTTATTTACTATTGATGATTGGTAAAACATATAAAGGTAATCTGTCCAGTAAATTTTAAGCCCCTTAAAGCATACTCTATGAAATACATATTCCTAATATAAATTTGCATTGGGGTATTTATTTCAGAGTATGCTTTACGGGGCTTAAAATTCATGACCTTTATACGCTTTACATTTTTGAATGCACTTTTTTGTGTGTGTGCATACTATAATAGAAATAGTTACTATTAATTGTGATTGTACTTGTACAAGTATGCACACACACACACACACACACACACTCAGTTTACCAATTGCCAATCGGAAAACGTTTGGCTAACACTGGGTCTCGGATATATAGATACCTTTCCAACTAAACAAGGGTTTGTGAAAGCATTTGAATTGAAACCGGATTTTCCCCAAATCGTCGGCCACTCGACACGCGTCCATAAGAGTGGTCCACACGTTAACTACGCGTTGGTCGGCGTACGTGATGAGTCCCTGTCCAAAGTCATGGGTGCCGTCGCACACGAAGTTCATAATACCACAGACGGACGCCTCGGTCATCACTGTCTCCTCGTCCAAGTGGACGATCCAGTCGTTGTCGGCCAACCGATTGTGTCGCCGCTCCAGACAGTACTGAAGCACCCGTGCCTTTCGGACCAGATATTTAGGTTAATAAAAATAATTTTAATTCTATTTTTTAAACTAATTCATAATTAAACCAGGATAAATTATTTGTCTAATGCAGTGTTAACCAAATTTTTTACAATTAATTGTTAATTTATGAGTGCACTTTGTGTGTGTGTGTGTGTGTGTGCATACTTGTACAAGTACAATTAATAGTAACTATTACTATGATACTATGAACACACACACAAAGTGCACTCATAAATTTTATCAATTAATAATAATACCAATGTAATATTTGTTTGGGTTAACCCTGCTCGAATAAATTCATTACTTTAAAAATAGCTCCACTTTTAGGCCGATACTGAATGGGGAGTACGGTTTCAACCACTTTTGGGTGATTACAGTCACCTAAACCCAAACCCTTTTCGGTGACCACTTCGACGATATAATTTCGGAGACCCACTGCTGAGCACACATTCAAATGCTTTCTGACATTATTGCGAACCAATTGCCGATAGTCTCCACGAGTGACCACTCGGAAGCATATGAACGGTGCGGTCAGTGGGTTGTACTTCAGGGCGACCACGGGGTCGGCGAATGTGTCGTACAAAATAAGTCCCAGAAATTGGCACAAATATTGTGGTAATGATAATAGAGACAACATTTGAAGGCTATAAATGACCATTTTGATTAGTATATTGGGGGATACATTATCAGGGTAAGACTTATTATCAGGGTAGGACTGGTCATTTGTTAAGAGACCGCATATCCACAGGTAAAATACAATAAACTTTATAAATAAAATAACATGACATAGGTGCTTAATAGCCGGTAAGTGGTTTAACATAGTTTTTTTAGTTTTTAATATTAAGCTTATACAAGAATATCATTTTTTAAATTTTTTTATTATATTCAATGTTAGCATAACATTTAGTAATTTTTATTTTATTGTAAATTTTAAAAAATAGTTAAAGTGGACCAGGTTAGTAAATCAATGATTTTTAAATTTTAACTTTAAATTAATATATATCATAAAACGTTGGTATCCGGACTAGTTATTTAGTTTAGTTAATTGTGTTAAAGTATATGTAGGTTAAAAATATATATTTGACATAAAAATTATTTATAATGTTATTGTTATATAACTCACTAATATTTGGCATAAATAGTGCTAAATTGGTTATAGGCCCTTCATAATGTTTATATTTATACTAAAATTAGATTGGCGCAATAACACAATTAATGTATGCATATAGTTAAACATTCATACGTTTAATCATAAATAAAATGTACCCTGTATAATTTTTAAAAATTCTCTAATTGCAAACTAATAGCAAGGTATATTCAAATTAAATAAAATAACACTGCAACAAATATGATTAACACAACAATACTTATAACGTGAATTGTTTGAATATTTATTAAAAACTTTACACAACATGTAGAATTAAATTAAATATCATTTATTTAATATATTAATAAATAATGAGTGCCTCTAGTATTAATAATACAGTACATTACATTACAGTAAGTGATATTATGTTTATGGTGGTTAAATTAGTGTAATTTATTTGTTTGGGGTTTGAAAATAAATTATTTCACTTATATACGGTACAAATTGAATGTTATTGATGAAAATTTAAAATTTAATTAGCATTTATTGCAGCATGTTTATAATAGTATAATAAGTTTATTTCATGGTGATATTTAATACTTATACAATATTATATTTGATTACAATGTAGAACTAATTATTTGATATTTTGTAAAATTTGATTTACTATTATATGATATTTAAGAATATTTTAAATTAGTTATTAAGTTAACAGTGAAATAATAAATTAATTTTTTTTATAACCTTTAATTGCGATTTAAAACATTAACAATATTTGTATTGTAAATGTTAATGGGGTATTAAACTAAAAGGTTGTAACATTAATCAATTAATTAATTAAAATTTACAAATTACATTAAAACTTTTAAATACCTATGTAATAAAATACCTATAATATTATCAAGGTCTCATTGTGTAGGTATATGTAAACTAATTAATTGCATGTCTAAAATTATTGTAAAAAATAATAAAATTTAAATATTACGGTAATACTGTAATTACTTGTACAGTATAATATATTAGTAACAAAATATATAATAATATCATTTGGTTAATACCAGTTACCAGTATAATTAAAATACCGTACTTAAGATTTTATTTGTAATTTACATTTTAATGTGTTTACAAAACATACAAAATTTATAAATATTTATATAAAAGCTAACATTTATTTCATTTGAAAAATTAATAAACTTTTTTGAGAAACAAATGGAGATTAGAATCAGTTTTTTGGGAGAAATTAATTTCAGAAATAAATTAAATAAAAATTCACTTCAAATTCAAACAAACAATACATGAGAGCGAGTGTGGGTTCAGTCGAGGGGGTGATTCTGAACGACACCCCCGTTGGAGAGCACCTCCTCTGCAATGGACTTCATAGTCGAGTAGTTCTTCAGCCGTTGTGTCGCCCGAAGACCACTCAGACTATCGACGATCCGCTTCGAAGCCTATGAGAGAGACATTGCGTGAGAGAGAGAGAGAGAGACTCGAGGCATACCTCATGACAGAACAGATTCGCGATATTCTTCTCGATGCCGGCGCTGTTGAGGTTGGCGTTGAGGGCACGGGTAGCCCTCGACAGCACCACAACCATC